AGAAGACTAATTTGTGGACAAAGTCACAAACAACACCTGAAAGGAGCTACTGAACCTATATAGAATTATGGAGTTGCATTAAGTCAGAAGTAAAGCAGATTCATCTCTGAGAAAACATATATATGAAACCACTGAAATTCCAAGCGCTATTCAAAATATATAAAAGTATGAAAATCAAATATTACTAAGATTCAAATCGTTTCATTTGATCAAGCGTCTTTTCCAAGTGTTTAAGGCTCTGTAAAAAGGACTGGATGCAGCACATACAATTGTACAGTGAGAGAAAGGAATATATTGCCCTGCTGCTAATTTCTGATTTTGTTTATCTTAGAGCTTTATTTAGAGCTAGGCGGTAATTTTAGTCGAAGCTCAGTTACCAAAAATAGTATAGTAACAAAAATATTTTAAAACATACATTTCAAAGCAGTAAAACATGCATAACTATGGTTAGACGCAAACATTACAAAATCATTTATATTCTGATTCTTGTGTTACGAAGTTTGCCTGCATAGGCATGTAAATAACAAAACTTGGATCGTTTTAAGAAATTGAAAATCATACAGAAAAAGGCACTTTAATTGTTCATACATATAGCCCTGTAAGTATTTTAGTAGGTATTTGCATAATTCACGCCGAAGAGAAATGATTTGTCTTGGTCTTGGAATAATAAAATTGCTTCGAAGGCGGAGATAGGCGAGAATTTAATACATTTCAGAAAAAGGCAAGTTGATAAATATCAGAGAGAGAAAGATAGACAAGAAAAGTGGGAATTATAATGAAGAGAGAAAAAAGAGTGGGCGTGGAGTATTGAAACACTGCTTTTACGTGGTTGTTTTAATTAGCTTGTTTATTAATCATTTGAAAATGACGATAAACGAGAGAGAGAGACATGGTCAAAACGGTCATTGCTTATTCTCGCCATTCCTTGTCGCCGCGGATGAAAAAAAATGCGTTTTCGATCCCAAATCCTTATGGCCTTAGTAGCGATCAACAGTGAACTATTCTAAGTGATTCAAGAGTCTTGCTGCACACCAACACCAATATATTGCTGTGGCATAAACGTATGTATGCTGTAGCAAGAGTGAAGGTGACGAATCAAGTGTCCTGGCGTACACTAACACAAATGTATTTCTGTAACATTTTGTCTGGCCGAATTCAGACTCTCCAATCGCAAAAAAAAGTTATTTGTACTCTTACTACAGCAGCCTTGCAATATACTCATATGGATCTACCAGTGGAAACGCATAGACGAAGGATAATTAGTTAGTGTCGAGAATGGTTGTCTGTATTTCAGATCACAATTAGAATATTATTCTATATATATTGCCATAAACGATCATCTTTAGATTTAAGTATAGGATTTTTATAGTTATTCCGGGGGAGAGGAAAGCCGATAAGACGACCACGACTTGATTACTCGAAATCCCCCAAGAAGCCTTGGATGTGGACATCTTATCACACGAATACGTAGTAAACGCTTCAGCAGAATCGTGAAATGGCTTTTTCACCCAGAAAAAATAGAGTAATTTTAAAGAATCGATTAATAGTATCATCATTCATTCTCGTTGAAAAGAAAGACGATAGTACGACTTGACCGTTACAAATTAACAAATAGATTAGTGAAGAAATCAGTGGCCAACTAGAAGAGATTTGAAACATTAGAGCAGATCTTTTCCGGTTACCGGTGACCATGTTAACGACTAACCAGTTCTAAGTGTTCAGTAATATACAGGGCGATTTCATTTGTATTTATTAGTTATTGGTAGATACGTGTACTAATTAGTCGGCCCAGGATCAAACACTTTTACGATTCTCCGAGTTCATTTTAATTTTGATAATTTCGTCAGATTTACGGTTGTTTATTAAAGTCATTTAATAACAATCTGAAGACTAAATTGCTATACTTTACCATGCATGGCCCTTTCAGAATTGTGGTATTATAGGTCAAATTATCTCTGGCCTATGTGTAACGGACCATCAAGTTTGGAAATTATTTTTTCTCTTTATAATTACCACAAATGGTAGTTTAAAATTTTTATGGCTTTCTCGGCACTTGTGGTTGATTAGTCACTCAATCATCGCTATCGAGGGTTTGATACTGTAGAGCAGAGAGCGAGGGGATTAAGTGGTTCCATTCGCTTTGCAACGTCGGAGAGGACGCTTCTCTTGTTTTGAGCGGCGTAGTGTAAGTGGATAAGTCGTCAAGTGAGAGTGCTTTGTCGATTTGTTAGTGAAGAGATGGATATATGATCCGCAACCGTGGGCCGCAGTAGAGGGACATCAGGTTGAAATCAGGATTGAATAGGATGACCCGATCTAGGTTCTAGGAGGCCCCCAATCAGTCATATAGATAGCAGATTAAAAAATAGATATATGGTCCCGATCTCCATTTGTATGGATACTCTGTGCAGGGCTATCATTTAAACAGAAAATAATAAAGAGGAATAGAGCAGACAAACTGAGAGGTTTGGAGTCTTATTGCGCACTTCCACAAATCAAATTCTGTAACGTTTTATTTATCCAAAGTCATACTTCTTACAAGACAAGCGGTTTATAATTTGTAGTTTTTTTTTTTGAGTATACATGCGCCTATCGGCCCCTAAAAACTTCAAGTCTCGTGTGGATCTGTATTTACTGGGGCGTTACGTAGTTTTAGTATCTCAGGGGCCAGCCATAACTTCACCCAGAGATGAGTCTTTTACTTCTGAGCGAGTACGCGTGATCTTGCTTTAAGTAAACTTTTTTAAGACAAATTACTTTGATAGTAATTTCAGACCACAGCTGACAAAATCGTCACGTCAAACGAGGGATAAATATTTCATTCTTTTGAGTCATTATTTTTTCAGTCAAGCGTAAATTTTTCATCAATTTGGGTTCAAAGGACCAAAAACAATCGTGATTTACACATTTATTTACCGTCTTACTAAATTTCGGGTATATGAGTCATTAATTTACCGAGAATCGGGAAATTTTTTCATGTTTACTTCATTTCGAGTTTCATCCCGTGAGGAAGGTGTTAGTAATCGAGGGAAGATTGTATATTAGAATGAGATAGGATTTAAATTTTATTGTGGGGTGAGGAAAGGAAATTAAACGTTTCTTTTATTTATACAAAGCTGTTCAAACCAAGGTCCTGAGCCCTCAACTAAAAGTAGAAAGAGTACTGATAGAAGAGTTGCAAGTTTGCTCAAAGCAAGGTCCTGAGCACTCAACTAAAAGTAGAAAGAGTACTGATAGAAGAGTTGAATGTTTGCTCAAAGAAAGTACAAAGAAAGAGTATTGATAAGAGATTTTCAAGTTACTCAAACCAAGGTACCGATCTCCCCATTAAAAAAATGGCTTCCGCGGAAAATTACAATATTTTATGAAAACGATATTCAACGTTTTTCGCCATTAAGCGAATTACCAATGTTAAATGTTTCAGATAAAATGGCGCATCGCTACATTACGTATGATGATATATCGTGTCTATCTATTAGTTAGAAATATGGATATATCTTGCCATTTGAATGGACTCCTCCGTGGAGAACAGGTCGGGCTGCCAAATAGACAGAGGGAGTGTTTTTATGGCAGCTTCATGAGCCGTGTACAGTTATTAAAGTGCAGAATGTGCAAGCCATGTATAAGATATGTTATGTTAGCAAGTTCAAGTTTAAGTGGAAGCAATGGCAAAATATTTTTGTCGTGTGCTGATTGAAGTTAAGTATGAAATGCCGTAAAACATAAATGTTAGGTTAGGACACGCTAGCAATATTAAAAGTATAAAAAATACATGAGATTAAATAAATGCAATGCAGAATTTTTCACATACACAGCCTAGCTAGACGCTTCTTATCCACAGGCCCGCGGAGTCCGCCATTTTAATATTTTCATCGAATTATCTTTGCCGCGGACGACGTCCATATGTCTATTGTTTGCGAATAACAGCGGGAGTTGTCGAGTGATTATGGCGTAACAATAATTGCTGGGTGTTGTTCGCCGTTTGCAATGTCTATGTCGTATGCCTAAATAAACTTTTTAGTTGAGAGATGTCAAATACGAAGACGGTTGTTCTCTCTGTGGAGTGATTACTTCGCAAACGATATTAACTTTTGATTAAGTTCAATTATCTGCACAGACGACCTTAGAGCAATGACTAGAAATAAGAAAGCTGAAATATATATAAACGACATATGTTTTGAGACGACTAACGAGTGGTTGCTACCGTGTTTATTTAGAGTTAGTAGATTTATATCTGGTAAGTCGCAGGTAATATAAGTTTTCGTTGTTGAAAAAGTATTGCTTTGTCAAAACTAGTCGTAATTTTTCGCTAGTATGGTGTCCTAATGTTGGACCATCTGTGTTATCGCTGCGGATTCATACGTACTCAGAAATACGCCTCAAAAAATATTTACATCGTAAACTGATTGGAAACACAGCTAGCTTTTTCTCTGATTCGTATTTTGAGAATGTTATCAGCTTGTAGCGTATATGCAACGGAGATAAAATATTCAGATAACGCGAAAAGAAATTCGTTAGAATTCGTTTTAATATTAATAGACAAACTTTGATACTATTGTGTATATGGGCTACTTAAATCAAAGATTTTATTCCAAGATGATATTGCAAATATAGTATAATTTCAGGGATATATTAGTTTATTGTACAAAAATACAATCTTTAAAACATAAGTGATTCACTTAATATAGTTATCTTTACTCTTGCTACAGCATCCTTGCATTATATGAATACGGATCCACCGGCAAGAAAGAAAGAAGAAGTTAGTCCCGCGAAAATTAAATCATTATTTTAAACATAATACTGTAATATGGTATTTATTCATACATATATTTATGTATATATACAGTTACGAAGAAACGGGCTAGCCGGAATATTTAAAGTCCAAACATACCCAACATATTAGGAAAATTTGGAGTGTATTTGGCTTGTTGTAGCTTTAGTCTATGCAAAGCTTACTTCAAATTCCTGGGAACATAAGACTAACTGATATTTTTCACTATCCAGATACTAGGCTAGATTGTTAATTTTCGAGTGATCATTTTCGATTTCTGAAATCCTGCAAAAAGGAACTTCAAGAAAAGAAGAAAAACTCGAAAAAAAGATAAAAACTTTGACCATTATCTCGTGACGTCATTCATTGTATTACGTCACAAAATAAGACATTCTTCGCAAACAATTGAAAGATGATGCTGGGAAATTTAGCTCAGGTGAGATAAGCATATTTTGTAAATTATATCATGACATCATAACACTTTGCAAGTAAATTGTGGTAATATATAATCAAATGTGACGTCATAATGTTTTCATGTAACGTAATAATGAGTGAACAATCAAATCACTTGCCATCGGCGGGAACACGACGGATCAGATCGCAATAAATTTCAATCGATAGATTCTGATTCCCAAAGCTAATATAAAATTAAACTACTCATATATATACTTCCCAAGCTTGAATTTTCGTGAATTGAATTGCGTTTTATCTCCTTGCCATACAAGACAACAGATAATATAAGCATATCAAAATTTCTTATTAAAGTTCTCATCCGTTATATTGGCAATTTTATTCAACCCTCGACGATTTGATCTATCGAGCGGTTGTTTTATATTAAATTCTGTAATTAACCAGTTTGAGACATCGGTTCAATATTGCAAGTATAAGTAAATATTTTGCAATATGAGAGAGGGCTGGGAGTGTTGCATTGCCTAAAAGCCCTTCACTTAGTACTGGGCAATAGAGGATATACTGATGTTTATGTATAATATGGAGTTTGTTTGTTTAAACATTCGAAACACTGGCACTACTTTATCGTTTGACTCTTACGATTAGTGCATGCATTACTAGTAGTAGTGGGTAATTTATGATCATGCAAACCATTACATATCGGTGTTACGCTCATTTATTCGTCCTAGTTCAAGAAGAGATTGCAGAGACTTGGGATTCACTTCACGTAATACATAATTTAATATATATATACACCTTGTCTATATTCACACACATTGTAATGTGCTTTTTTGTTGCCTAATGCTTAGAAAGAGCCTAAATATATTTGCGTTGGTGTCCAATCAATCAGAGAAAGCCCAGCCCATACAGAATAGTAGCTCCAGCGGTAGCTCCATCAGTTTGCACTTTACTCTATCCTTGTCTGGTGTGTGGTGTGAGCATATGTCCAGCATATCCATGCCTTGTTTAAAGCGCATTATTATATATCAATAATTCAAAATGGCCCTCAATATAAAATAAGCCCAGCAAACTTCCTTACAAACTACTCCTGAAGTGGGTAAAGGGTTAATTTATGGTTATTGCAATGCTTTCTTATTGCGGATACCCAATATTAACTGTCATAAAAATAAAATACTGGCATCGCTCAAAATTGGCGCGAAAATCAATGTTTATTTGACCTCTGCGTGTAATTCGACCTTCACGCTTAAATTCGATTGTCACAAAATTAAAATATGATGTCATAACAAGATTTCTTATTGCATTATGAACCGCACAATGATATTAATATGTCTCACGCTAACCCTTACACTTAGAACCCATATTCGAATATTCTTTGAATAGAATTTTATTCAGAATAACTACAATGGATTTGGCATATGGGAATATCACTGATTATCAAATTCCATTTCGTAGAAGGGTTACGGGCGAGTGCTTGCATGTTAGTATATAAACGTTGAAAAAAATTTATATCGTGTGAAAATTCAATTTTCGTTTTATCTTATAAAATTATATTTTTCTCTTTCAAACTAGCTCTTATCTAGCCAGTTATTATTTTCAGCTATTCTATAAGTACTTTTGGAATTTTCAGATCTTGCAACTTTACCTTTAGTATACTCATATGAGAACCTATTAAGTCAGAGGTGCTTTCAACTCTTCTATCAATATTTTTTTTTTTTCGATTTCCAGTAGAGTTCAGTTGTGTTTAGTTAGGTTAAATGAAAAAATTTCAATTTTTCGGTTTATTTTATGTAGGATTTTTCATTCCTGAAAATATCTGAAATTTTAATTGCCTTGGAAGTAACCAATCATGCAAATTTTCCTTTATTGCCCAACAAGGCGGGGTTTAATAGATAACCATGTCTAATTGTCAATGACACACGTCACAAAAGACACGCAGACATTAATTATTACGAAACAATTCACAATCGAACAAATCCTCTTTATTACCATCGTAATATAAATATCCAACTGTTTCGGTAGCGTCCGCCTTTGTACAAAATCGTTTCGTTCGCGACGGGAATAATTATTTTATTGATAAAGTGAATCAGCTTACTCGACGGGCAGTTACCTTGATTAACTACCGGTTCTTTGTTTATTCTAAATAATTAACACAGGTGGTGCCATCAACTACTAAGACGGGAGAAAATAATAATTCCCCTCCCTCGCTTCGGGATAAATAATTTTATCCGCTAATTAACAAGAATGAATGGAAATTAAATCAATAGAGTTAAAAATACTTCTTTATTTTCAAGAAGACCACATAGATATGTGTGTATATGTGATACACACACATGTTTAATGAAAATGCATTGGGACTTTTTCCCATTTTTAGTTTAGGGTTCGAACCTTGTAAACTTTCGACTCTTCTATCAGTACTCTTTCTACATTTAGTTGAGAGCTCGGGACCTTACTTTGAGAAAACGTGCAACGCTTTTTTTAGTACTCTTTCCACTTTCGGTTGGTAACTCTGGTTTTGACTTGGGTAAACTTGTATAACACCAAAAAGATTAGATAAAATTTAACATATAAGATTTGATTACAATCAGTATGTCAAAAAGAGTTGCAGGAAGAAAATTAACCCCTTGTATTTGTGCACAAGATGGAGTCAAGCTTTCCTTACAGCCTTTTTTTATGGGAAATTTTGTCACTATTTTTGATAAACTCGTTTTTGCGAGTAGTGACTTGTCTATAACCTGCTACTCCATAAAACATTGTTAGGAACGTTTTCCATATATTTGCTGGAGAGTTCTATTGCAATGAGTCGAGATTTTTCTACAGACAATGGTGCAAAGTTGGAATTAATTTTTTTGTGATTTTTTTGTGAATAGTCGCTTGTCCATGTCGATACCATTTTCATAATTATGATAACTCCCCGGTTGATAGGCGTGTCGCATGTTTTTAGACTTCTTAAGAGTGAAAATGCTTCAAAAAATTCATATTGGAAACGCCCATCGTGGAAATCTGTTAAAGTGCACTATTGCAATGACATTTTATATCTATAAAATATTCAACACTATCGCTCATAACAACGTTCGCATCACGAAAATTTTTTACAATCACTATAAGATCATAAATCACTTGAAAAATTGATGAAAATCGTTGAAATATGCATGAAATTGACACCAATACGAATAAATATTGAGAAGACAACTTTTTCCGCCAATCAAATCAAAACGCATCAATTCAATTATTCATGTAATAAAGGAAACCATTGTTTACGTTACAATTGATTATTATTTCGCAACAATCGCCACCTGACATGAAAAAACATTTGGTAATTACCTTAATCTCGAGCAGACCTTAGGGCTTGAAGACGATTAATATAATAAACAAACAATCAAAATCTCAAAAAAAGAAAAAGGGAGTAATTTGGTCAACGTATACGAGTAATTTCTATAAACAAACTAATTGATTTAGAAATTAACTCCAAGCAATTAACAAAATTATTAATTATTGTATATTTATTTTAATAAAGTATCTAAAACAGAAGGGTCTTTATCTTGGTTTGATAACTTAGAAAATATAAAAATATCTTTCACGTGGGATCACTGTATTTTTACGCGTGTTACCGTATGTAAATTTATGCAGAATTAATTCACTGCCTCCATTTTTGGTCCAAATTATTGATTGGTTTATAATAAGAGTGAATGTTTCTTAATAAACAACGTTCCCTACGGTATTTTTGATTGATGGAGCAGATTATCACCCAAATTAGGCTGGGTCAAAGTAAAACAATAACTGTCGTGCACGTACGGTTTTGATATAGCGAAAAAAATGAACGTGGTATTACCCAGTGTGGGTTCGGCTTGTCCAAATGTGCGGAACTACCCAGAATACTTATAGAATTAAATCCAGCAATATTGACCATATTTGCCTAACATGAGAGCTGCATGTTATTTTATAATTAGTTTAAAGTTATCCTATATACGTCTCCTGGCTACGATTTTAATGCAAGTGAATAACCAACCGTAGTATTTCTCGAGTGGGTTTAGCTCTCTTGAACTTTGTGCGTAGCTACCTAGAAGACTTTGATTATCAAATACAACAATATCGGGCATAGTCACGTAGATAGCATTCAGATACATAAAAAGACTTTATTATTCATTACATTTATGAAATTTGTCTGCAAAGACATTTTGAAATTTCGCTAAGGTTTGCTCCTTACCATTTGTGCCTAATGAGGATAATACATGTCATAGGGATATAGTTCAAGAGCTATTTGAATATATCCAAGTATTAGCTAATGCATTTTACAATTAAAAATTTTGTTACGATTACTTAATTGTTATAGTTCGAATTTAATTCATCTGACTATACACTTCTATAACAGTTAGAATTCTCAATTCTTATTCAAAAATATTTCAGAGACTATATATAAAATGCGCATGGAATTTTCTTTTTGTAATTCTGTCAAACCGAAAAAAAATATAACAGTTGCGATCACATATTTATAACATTGAATTTACAGTCTTTCTTATCAATATATACCCTTGGCAATCAAAGAAAGGTTTAAAATGTCATTCAAAGATAAATTTGAAATTGCGACTGCAAATCTAAATGATAAAGTTGATATATTGAAGTGGGACATCAATTAATGTATTATAATTCATATAAGAATGAATCTTAATCAAGCTGGCCTACTTGTCTTTCACGTCACATTGTTTGACATTGAAAAGGTTCCAGTTCACCACGAATCTATTAATGTATTACTGATATCAGCGTCTATGTCTGATAATGTAATATCAACTAAGATTTAAAGACCTTTTTATCAAAGGTACTTAATTAGGCGCCATTAAAATATTCAGAATCGTAAGTGCATGTGTTAGGACTAACTACCTTGGCATAGCACGTTTATGCCCCTGCTAAACAGAATCATAGGGAATAGATCAGTTATTTTTTTGGGGGGCGTAAATCAAAAATTCTTTTGCTAAACTCTAGTTCAATTTAAGTGAACACCGGCCTCAAAAATAACATACGTGAACACTA